CCTAAGTTAAAAAGTAATGCCATTTCAACAAAGCAGAGCTTCTTTCTATTGGTTCCATAAAGATAATAAATTAAATTTGCTCCTTTACCCTTTAGTTTGCAGGAGGTATTTACTCCAGGCTCGAAGCACAAATCAAGGCCTCAGTGCCAGTCACTGCACGGCAGAGCAGCTCAGAGAAAAACACAAGGTAAATTAGCGTCAATGAATTCAGAATGCCACTGGCCTGTAAGTGATTTTTCTGGAGGGGAAAAATCATATGAACACTAGAAGCACTAATTTTAGTGTGGTTTTATTTTGTTTCAGAAATTAGATCATCAAGATATTAATCAGGACCAGATTTTTAACTTAAAAGTTAAGACTTTAAAAGGTCACGAGCACAAAATTTAATGAAAGTATAGTTTGTTTTTTTTTAAGTTTTCTGTTTATTGAATTAGCTCTGTTCTGAGCCAACTGTTGATGAAAATGTAAGTTACAGTGCTGCAGTGAATTAGAATTTTTATATTTATAGGTCATTGAAATCTCTCTTGTTCCTTGTTTTATTTCTCTTAATCTAACTAGTCTAACAATCTAAATGTAAAATCTAATTTGTGGGTCCTATGTCATTTTACATCACAAATTTTCTTTGGAAGATTAACAGTTACTGAGATTTGATCATTAATACAGATCCAAATGCCTTATCTGCAATTCTGAAATCCAGGAAAACCCAGAAAGCCAAAAAGCTTTCGTCATACATTGGTGGCAACTCAAGTTTGATCTGATAAAGGTTTTTGTTTGTCCCACTTAATGTAAATGCTCATTGTTTCACTGAAGAAATATTAATGTGTCTGATTATGGGGCACTGCTCCAGATTCATAATATATAATATGTGAACCATATTATCTCCCCAAATTTAAAAAATCTGAATTCCAAAATTCATCTCCACGAGTTTTTGAAAATGGATTATGAAGCTATATGAAGTTTCATTACACTTTGACACTGTCCAGCAAATATAACCCATAGCAGCAGCAACTTCCTGTTGTTTTAGAAGCACCTCTGACCTTCTTTTCTGTTTAAAAAATCCAGGTCTAAAAGTCGTTTTGGTCAAGGTCGTCCTGCGTAAAGCACCTTAAAATATAACTAAGATGAGAGAAGACACACCTGTGGATGTCTGGAATTGCTTACTTCTTGAAGATCTTCAGAACAATGACTTCTAAATGTTTTAAGTTATTTGTTAATTGTTCTTGCAAGTCGCATCAGTCATAGTGCTAAGGGAAATACATAGTTAGGTCTTATGAAATCTAGTTGTAAATATGAAACTTCTTAAATCTAGTTTTCCTTTGGTGTGATGCTAGGCTACGCTAAGACTACTGATATTTGTTATCTTTATTTATTTGAAAGAGAAGAAGCCTAAACTCTCAAAGTAGCTAAGAGTTTTTAGACTTAAAAATTAGGGGAACACAGCAGATGGTAGTACTGTGCATGTGCACTGATGATAGTGTCTTTTGGGCTGTAAATCTCGGGATAGCACTGAGAACTGCAATTTGTGTGATGAAGTTCCCAGTGATGCTAATTTTAAGTTTGCATGACTGTTAAGGAGCAACAGATCTTAAGACTGCATTAAATAAAGTTTCAAGGTGAGGTATTTCCTGTGTTGGGCAGAGGCTTAATTTTTTCCAGCATTATTCCATAGAAAGCACAATGTTAATCCAACTTTTTTTTTTAACGCTTATTTATTGGTCATCTGAGCTGAAATTACTGATTATTACCTCTTCCCTCTGTGAAGCTAGTGCCATTCTGAATTTGTTAAAATAACTATTGATAGTTTTAGGATATTAAATCATTTCAGTTATAAGAGACACCCACTGTACAGTTCTCAGGGCAGTAAAATTCAACCATATATCTGTCACCATTCAAATAGCCCCTTAAAACAGTTGTAATTTACTACTTTAGAGATGGGTGGAAGGCAAGATTCCCAAATACATTTGATAGATGAAAAATTGCATATATTCAAGAGAAATCAAAATAAAATTCCATTCTATAGATCATGTTTTAATTTTTCAAACCAAGCAGAAAGAGTGCTCAGGGAGAATTTGTTCCAAATTAGAAGCATACAAAAATTATGTGTTTGGAAATTACTTATATGTAGGTCTCTGAAAAACCTTTAAGGTGCACTGTTTCTATTTTTAGTCTTCATTTGCCTTATAATGGAAATTTCTTCCAATTATTTAGAGGACAGACTTGCTAATGTATAAAAGCAGTAATTTCTGTTGAAATGCTGAGATGTTACACTCAGTTTACACATATAGAAATCATTATCTTTAATGAGCATTATAGTTGGTAAAAGAAGCTGGGTGTTATTTGATGTTATATGTATGGCTTTGCCAAGATTGAACTGTTTGGAAATTTTATTGCAATTGATATAGTTTTC